TGGCTAGGAGGGAGAAGCTGAGCAACCCTGCCTCAGCCTACCCTACAGGGGTTGGATGATCCTGGGATGATCCCCTAGAGCTGTCCAGAGAGCGACAGGCCTTCATATCCTCACTTCGGTCCATGAATACAGGCCAGCAGGGAAACAGTATGATCTGTTTGGGTGAAGTGGCTTTGTTCACCGGAGACAGTTCTCACACAGGATGATTCCCGAGGGCTGTCTGCTAGTAGCACTTGCAACAACTAAAGAAATAAGTCCTTCAGTTCTAAAGGGGGATGTGAACAGCACATCATGGCTCATTTCAAAAAGTATGTTAATTCCTGATTCTAACATTCAGATCTTGACTGTTCTACTCCAATGATTAAATAAAAGAACATAATAAGCTATGGAGAAAAGAGGGAACTAGGTTAACGCAAGATTACTTAAATCCTCTGAGTCTTGGTTCCCTTGTCTATAAAATGGGCAGTATAATACATCTTTTGTAAGGTTACTGTGACCATTGAATAAATACTACAGCCAAGGGGTTGCCATATAGTAGGTCCTCAATACATGGAAATTCCATTTTTTCATTTTTGGAAAGGTTCTTGTTCTACTGAAGCAGTTTTCTTTCATTTTGTCTTCAAAGATTTTCTGAATACCTCGTAACTCTAGAGTCCAACAGCCCAAGGACCCTCTATCTTGTTGTAGAGTTCACTAATGCCTGCCTACCCAACTCATTCCATTTCCTAATAGTCCTGGTTTTATCCAGGTATTAATCCCAGATAAAATAGGGAACTCTTTTTAGTTTAAGCAAATCCCCTGCTGAGCTGCAGATGGAGACGCAGCATTAGTTGGCCTAACCAGATTAAATGGAAGGACATAGCTCTGTTTACCATCAGTAGCCATCTCATGACCCCAAAAGGACCCAGACTTAGAGAAACCAACGCCAAGGATGATGGAATGAACTATGAACAGATGTTCGATCTTGATGCCATCATTGAGCTGGCTAATTGTAAAGTACCTGAAATCACCCTGACAACTTGTGAGATAATAAATTTTTATTGTTAAGCCAATTTGAATTAATTTTACAATACTTAACAGCCAAAAGCTTTCTAAATGATTCAATAGTACATCTTACTAAAACCTACCAAAAAAATCATGTTTACTGACATTTTTCTAGTCTCATTTACTTTATCCTTACGGGCAAGTATTATTTTATTGTTATGTTGCATATTGCTTTATATAGATTCTAAGTCTTGGGTTACTCTGTATCAACCTCTTTTACATGTTCATGGCCCTGGGCTCTTAGAAAACCCTAACTTTTACAAAAAATGTTTCTTTATTCTGCATGTATTGCTTGAATTATTCATTATTGAATGGGCTGTTACAGCTGCTTTTAAAGTTTAAGACTAGGCATTCTGAGAATATTCTTCTAAACCAGCACCTCACATAGCCTCCTAACTGCTCACATGGATAATAAATACCTTCCTTCCCACAAGCGTAACATACCTTCATCTGACAACAAAAGCAGATGTGCTTTCTTTTCTTGTTTGGAAACTGCTACTCTTAATAAAAGATTATCCATAAAGTTGCTGCTTGTTTGGTGAATACCTCCAACACTCACCTCACTTACAGACAGAAATAACCAGACCCAAGTCTGGTTACAAGCCTCAGCTACCATGAGTTGTCCTGGTGCTCTGTTGTTCTGATGACCCTGTCTTCTACAATCCTATAGTTAAGAGTTTTACAAAACAGAAAATATTTCAAACCATTAAGTAATTGATACAATTCTCTTTAAGGGAAGATGACATTTCCTTCAAAGGCCGTCAGTCAGGTCAAGGGGAAAACGAAAAGAAAAAGACAAGGAAAAAGATTCTGACTTCAGAATGCAGAAAGCTTATCTAAAGAAACTCAGTATACCCAGAAAAACACAATATGCAAAGCTGTTCAACATCAACAAATTTAAGAGTTCAAACTAAGAATAAAGTATAAAAGAATACAAGTATGTCTGTCAAAGTTTAATATTATACTTTGATTAAACTGAAGAATGTTCATAAGCTCTGAGTAGGTATACTTTAGGCTTATACATTTTAAACAAGAGAGGCAAGGCACAGTACATTTTTTATTCTGTATGGTTACTATACAAAATATCCCCACTTCCCTTGAGAAACAGTATCAGATCTAAAACACACTTTGATGAACACTGCATACTAAAACATTATAGTCATCCCCTAGTATGGGGGGCAGGGAGGATTGGTTCCAGAGCCCTCCCACCCCCACCATGGATACCAAAATTCAAGGATGCTCAAGTCCATTACAGTAGGCCCTTAGTATCCATGTGTTCTGCATACACATATGGAAGGCCGACTATATGACACTATATAAATGGACTGAATAGAAGTGAACACAAATATACATTCTCCAACTTTTCAATATTATAAGAATATATCACAGCATTGATAACATGAAGAAAAATTTCTGGATTTATTTTTAAATTCAAAATTCTTCTGGTTGTTCTCCACTGAGGGGCCTTAGAGGTGAAAAGGTAATCAAGTTACCACCAAAGGAAGTATGTCTGGTACGTTCTTGATGTCTCTTCTCCACCTGAGTGAATGTATTACTGCAGTTTAGGCTTGGCTAGAGAATAAATTGAGAGAAGTCACTACAGTAATCATCAAGAATTTCACCAATTAAGTCTTCAACACTGCAAATTAGTAAATTTATTAATAACATAAATGACATTTTTGGTACAAAATAAAATTATTAATAACAATGATTATGCTACTTTTCAGTGGATTTAATCTTAAATATACAATTTTCTTTTTAATTGAAAAGGTATATGATGAATATATGCCTTAAAAGATGATTAGTAATATGTAAATAGACTTCAGCAATGTACACAGGACAAATAAAACTGAGGCCATATCTTAAGCCACTTATGTAGATTCCACAAATTCTAATCCATATAACTGCACTTAATAGGCCTTTTACTAGTGTGATCCTGCTGGGGTGCTTTACTTTGCTTGTCCTCAAGCCCTACTTTAAAGGTTCAAATGATGCTACAGAGCAAAGAATAATGTGAGTCTAAAATAGACAAGTGGACCTATTAAAAAAATTTAAAAATGTAAATTCTAATATTTATAGAAGTAGAAAATCATTCACAGGGAAGCTAAATTATAAGGTACTAGGATTTATCAAGATAATGTATAACTGTGAAATAATTTTAATCATATTACTAATACATCAAAAGCAGAATATTATGATTCATTAATTTCCAGACTTACTTATAATATATATTTATAAAAATAAATCATTCAGAGTTCAGATCCAGGAACAAGATTAAATCAGGTTTATATAAATTGGCCCTCATGCTGAAATCCCTGTCCCTCTAGG